GGCCCTGTGCTTTGGAGAGGTGCGCATCCGGGTGGATCTGCAGAAGTCGCCTCACCTGCAGCCCCCCGACCCCTTGCCCCCCGACCCGGCTGACGGGGCCCGAGAGGAGGCGCTGTCCCTGGGGCCCTCCCTGCTGCAGCTGGTCAGCCAGGTAAGGCGGGGGCTCCCTTGGGGGTCTGGCTGGCTGCCCCCTTGGCCGGCGGTGCCCGCCAGCTTCCTCCTCTCTCCCTCCCTCCCTCTCTCCCTCTCCCCCCCAGCTCTGCTCCTTCCACGTGGACTCGGTCAACGTGATGGTGCTGCACGTGGCCGCCTCGGAGTCCCTGTGGCACGTCCAGGTGTCCAGGTCCCAGGTTTTGCTGGGCTGTGACGGCAGGAGGTGAGTCTGCCGCTTTCCCAGGCGCCTCTGGGGACGAATACGGCGGGGGGTGGCACGCAGGGGGGGGCCTGGCTGAAATCCTGGGGAGGTGCCCCCTGGTCCACCCTGCTTGGCCTTCGTGGGTGCCCGGGAGCGCCAGGCCTCCTCCTGCCCTCTGACCGGCTCTCTCCTCCCCCCCCCCCCAGCGTGGCCTGCAAGCTGACCTGTGGCCAGGTGAACAGCAAGGTGCTGAAGAGCAGCCAGCAGGTAAGGCTGGGAGGGAGGGGCAGTCGAGGACCCCCCCCAAACCTCCCCACCCTTTGACTCCTCCTTCCCCTCTGCCTGGTCCCACCCTCGGCCTGCTTGCAAAGATGGCAGCCGATGGGCAGGTGTGTGCCAAATTACGTGTCCCGGGTTAAAATGTTCGTTAGTTTATGCTGCCTGTCTCCAAAAGGTGCCTCTGGACAGGTAACAGAGGCAGCAAACAACATCCAGGGAATTCTTGGGCACGGGGGTGACAACCATCGGGGGGGGGGGTCAGCGCCCCGAGAGCCCCCCCTCCGCCTCTCAATTCACATTTAATGTCAACTGTAGCTGTCCTTGCCTCTATTTTAAATTTTCTACTTAGTTTTTTGTTTTGAACCTTTGGTTTGTTCGCTGTCAGGAGTCCCTTTTGTGTGAGAGAAGGGCGGTTTCTAAATGTGATTGATAGGTAGGTAACTGGGTAGGTGAGTGAATGGGTAGATAGTAGATAGGTGAGAGAAAGGAAATTGGCAGGTGGTGTGTAGAAGTGAGAGAAATAAGCCAGTGGAACTGCCTGCCTGCAGAAGTTGTGGGTGCTCCAGCACTGGAGGTTCCTAAGAAGAGATTGGATGACCCTTGGTCTGAAATGGTACAGGGTTCCAGTTTGAGCAGGGGTTGGACTAGAAGACCTCCAAGGTCCCTTCTGTTATTCTGATAGATGATAGATCTAGATTGATAGATTATGGCTGCCTGGCTGGCTGGTTAGATAGATGGATAAATAGATAATAGAGATGGATGGATGAATGCATGAATGATGGAACGCGTAGATGGAGATATAGGGGAAGATAGACAGACTATATATAGACACATACATTTACACACACACACACACACACACACACACACACACACACAAGAGAAGACAGACAGACAGATATATTTGGATGGAGTGATGGAGGGAATAGAGACACAGGGAGACAGATGAAGACAGACAGAAGATAAGAAAGAAAGAAAGAAAGAAAAAGAAAGAAAAACAAAGAAAGAAAGAAAGAAAGAAAGAAAGAAGAAAGAAAGAAAGAAAGAAAGAAGAAGAAAGAAAGAAAGAAAGAAAGAAAGAAAGAAAGAAAGAAAGAAAGAGAAAGAAAGAAAGGAAAGAGAAAGAAAGAAAGAAAGAGAAAGAAAGAAAGAAGAAAGAAAGAAAG